TTTTTTTTTCTCTTTTCGAACTCAGGCGTGTGACAAGATTTCTTTTCTCTCCGGGGTCGGAAGAATATGCATCTGCATTTCGTGGTGGGTCAAAAGACGCGTGCCATCGCGCGCTTCATCACGGGAGCCCCTGACGCTCCCGTCAATTATGCCTATCATAAGCTCGATGCAAGCCGGGTCGGAATAGGACAAGGGGCTTCTGGACATGCTGTTCGGTCAAAGCCGAGTGAGATGCTGGGGGCACGTTGCAACGGATGGTCGGTAGAGGTACGCAGACCAAGGTCACGCGGAGTGGACCAGCTCATCTTGGCCCACCGAAAAAACAGAGGCTGCAGAAAAAATTTCGCGCTTTCATGCATGCAGCGACCCTGAACTTCCGTTCCTGCTCCGCCCGGCTCCAATCACTCCTACGCCTTTGCCCCCCGCCTCGTCCGAACAAGATGGTCGTCGTTCGAGACAATCACCGCGTCCAATCAGGCACAGTCGAGTTGTCGGAAGCAGTTGGAAGCGTTGCTTGGTTCATCCAACATAGCGAAAGCTCTGGAAGTACGAGCCCCAGCCTCAAAAAACATACGGCCGGGACTTTACGCACGCCAGCGCGCTAGGCTCCGTGGTCTTCTCACGCTCGAAATTGAGCATCTCCTGTCCAAGATGGCTCATTTTGAAGCGCTCGGGGGGTGGGGGGTGTAGGGACAATCGAGAGACCGTTTGCGAGCGTTCGGGAGGCGGGGACGGCCTGCAGCAGGCGGGGCAAAACCCGACTCGTGGTCTGCCTTCCGAGCTTCCAGGACACGGATCTAACAAGTCTCACCCGCCAAAAAAATCGCTTTTGAACGCTCGGCTGCTCGGAAGACGATGCCATCTCGGCTGCACCACCACCTGGCGATCGTCGTGCAGCACTGCACAGTCTCGATACCAACCCACCATGCCTTTGTTCACGCTGTCGACGCTTTCCACATGGCGCCCCGCACTTCTGCAAGCTCTCCGCACTCGAAACAGACGCGATAACAACTTCCGGGTGTTGCGCTGCCCCCGCCCGACCCTGCCGCGCTATCTTGGCAGCTTGTGATTGCCCGGCCCCACAGAACCTCGGCCATCTCCGAAACTTCCCCACTCCTCCATCTCCTGTCATCCCCTCTCCCTGAACACGCCTATCGGCTCGATGGATCCGTGCATCTTCCCCTAGCGGTCCTTCGTGACCCTGCAGCGCCCGCACAGGCCGCCACTGCTTATCCGGACTATCGCTGCCGGTGTCGACACGATCTTGCCTTCCGCTCGTGTGATAGCATCTACGCTACCCGCCCGCTCCCCTTTACTGACACAATATCATAACTAATGCCTCGGGCTTCCACTCTTTGATAAACACCCAGGCACGGATCCTCGGAATCCTGAACCAGTCGTGCCATGTGTTGAGCAGCAATACTCCGCTGCCGAGCTCCAACGGATTCAGCCGGCTTCGCGACAAGATAGCATGCCAGCTCAGGAACATGACGTGTGTTGCATGTGACCGCAATGCTCCATGCTCAGTCTCAGTGCGTCAAGAAGCATCGGAAGACTTCCGCAAAAAGCTTGGAAGCGTTGCTCAAGTCGACCACCGCCTTTCGGCGATTCGTTGGGACCGGCTGCCGGAACGCGCAACCAAAATTTGTTAAATCACATTTTAGGTGCTTGGATCGTCGATCCATCGTATGTACAAAGCCCCGATGAAGAGGCCAACGGGAGCATGCTGGAAGAACAACGAGCGGCTCTACTCGGCGACGATGAGGGAAGCCTTGCCGTAGCCCGTGCCGCAGCAGAGGGTGGCCACGCCCACCTGCTGGCCTGTCCTGCGCAGCTCGGCGAGCAAGCTCGTTACCAGACGTCCACCGGACGCGCCAAGCGGGTGTCCCAGCGCGATCGCGCCACCCTTGGGGTTCACCTTGGCCGCGTCGAGCTTGAGCGTGTCCATGACCATGAGCGACTGCGACGCAAACGCCTCGTTGAGCTCCCACAGGTCAATGTCGTCCGTCTTGAGCTGGAAGCGTTCGAGCAGCTTGGGCACTGCCTCGGCGGGGCCAATGCCCATGACGTCGGGCTTGACGCCCTTGGTTGCCGTGCCCACCCAGCGGCCGAGGATCTCCATGCCTGCTGCCTCGGCCACGTCTCGCCTCGCCATGGTGAGCGCAACGGCACCGTCGCTCACCTGCGACGAGTTGCCCGCGGTACTCTTGCCATCGGAGCGGAAGACGGGCTTGAGCTTGCCGAGCGACTCGGCGGTCGTGCCTGGTCGGATACCCTCGTCCTTGCTGACCAGCTTCCTGCCCTCCTTGCCCGTCTCCGGGTCGATCCATCGCACCTCGATCGGCTCAATTTCGGACGCGAGGCGACCATCCTGTTGCGCCGCCTCGGCCTTGCGGTGCGAATCGGCGGCGAACTGGTCCTGTCGTTCGCGGCTGATGTTCCACTTGTCCGCCACACGCTCCGAGGTCTCGCCCATGGGCAGGATGCAGTCGCGCGCGTCCACCGAGTCCGACTCCTTCAGCCACGGGCTCAAGTCGACCGGGATGGCTCGCGAGCCGTAGTTGCGCGTCATCGACTCGACACCTGCCGCAATACCGCACTGAATCTCGCCTGCGCGGATCGCGTTCGCAATGTCGGTGATGCTTTGCAGCGAGCTCGCGCACTGTCGGTTGACCGTCTTGTACGCCGATGTGATGGGCATGCCTGCGTGCAGCGCAGCCATGCGGCCCGACTTGGCACCGCCGAGCTCCATCAGCACGGTACCGGTGCAGACGTCCTCGATGATGCTCTTGTCCACGCCGCGCGCCTCGAGCCTCTCGCGGGTGCGCTGCAGCACGTGTGCAAGCAGCTCCTCTGGGTATGCGTCCTTGAAGCCCTTCTTCATGCGTGCGATCGGCGTGCGCAGCGCAGTGGTGAAGACCACATCGTCCGCTCGCTTCTGCAGAAGGCTCTGCAGGCCCTGTCGTGCAACCAGACTGCTTCGGAATGCCATCGTGTGTGTACAGGAAGGGTGTCGGTTCGCCGGCTAGGTGATGGATGTTGGCAAGTAGCGAATAACTTTCGTGTGTTCCCAAAAGGGTGGTAGCGTGCGCGAGAAGAGTGCTGGTGCCGGTCGGATCGGCTTTTCTGCGCAGGGATGGATGTGGGGCGAAGGGA